CGTGCGGGAATCGTTCGTATAGAGTTCGGTCATCGTTCGTACATCATTCGTATAGCGTACGTACAACGTTCGTTCAGCGTTCGTTCATCGTTCGTGTATCGTATGGTAAATGTCATCGTTTAGGGTTCTGTATATCGTTTGCATCATGGTATCGTAAAGCGTTTGATTTGTCGTATGGTACATGGTATGGTTTAGCGTTTAGCGTTTAGCGTTCGTTTATCGTATATGGTATATGATATCGTTTAACGTTTCATCTATCGTGTGGCATATCGTTTTGTAAAGCGTATGATATATATATTAGGTTTTTATTTCAGAAAATTATTTCAATTATTTTATTTTTTAATCTATTATAAAAAAAATGCGGGATAAAAAAAAACAATTATTAGATTGGATTGATTTATAGTTGGTTGCGTACTTGTATATCCCGAACAACCAAATGAATGCACCTCTTTGACATGGTTGTTCTTTACTGCCAGCCGGAAGAAGACCTGTAGTGACCATATTTCTATCCCTCTGTCACCCTTTGGACTATATTAGATTGGAAAGATTGGATTTATAACATTTCACTTGTTAATTAAATAATTAAAGCAAATAAGTTATCTTAATTATTATACTTTTTGTTTTAGACTAATTGCGTAATTTTTTATGTCTTTTTGTAATTTTGAATCATTGTGTTAATAACATTTCAAATTCGATCATTATAAAATTAAAAACAAAACCTAAACAATACCCTTAGTTCAATGGAAGGTGAACTATCTATTCTAAATAAAATTTGTTCAGTCGCAAAATATAGTATTGGTTGTAAACGTTTTATCTTGATTGAGAAGCGTTTAGCAATGCAATAAACTTACTTTAAATGTACTATAACTTAATGTAGATAATTAGATTTCGAACTGTATACCATTTCTTACCGATAGTAAAAAAAATTGTAACTAATATAATTACACTATGGAATACCCTGCTATATAAAACGAAGGGGAAACATTTCCTTCCATCACATTTTGACATGAGTAACACGAGACCAAATACCGCGAAAAATATTAGTCTCTCTCTCTCTCTCTCCTCTTCCTCCTCCTCCAAATATTTCTTTGATCCAAATATTTCCTTGACACAATATTGTATATAATGTTCTATAAATGAGGCTTTATATGAGATACACGTTTTATATCTAAGTGTATTAAAAAAGACAAGACATCCATGGTAGTATATGTTCCCCTCAATATCAGAGTCTGATATAAACCGAAGATGGTCAGGGATTTATAAAAATTCGTGAAAACTTATATGGAACCAGCGTCGCTTGCAATTGCTGCTGTCGGTGTTAAAACTGTTATTTTGACTGTAAAAAGTGCTTAAGTTCATGTATGAGTAAAATACAGAAGAAGAAAAAAATAACTCTTCCTTTTTTTTTTAGATTTTTTTATTTCAGAGGTAAGCTTCACAAACTTTCATGCATATCATCAAGATCGAATCACCTTAAATAACCAATCAAATGTATTTTAAAAGTTTTTGATTTGTTCTTTGTACGAACTCGTGAAATATTTGTCACTGGACATTATGCATGCAATCAATGATCAAATACAAATCTACAGTATTTATAAGCATACTGCAATTGTATATATGAAAGAAACTATCAAAGAATATTTTACACATATTTGAAGGATCAAAAGAATCAGTTCTACAAATGGTTGTTATTAATAGACTAATTCAATTTTACAAATAATACATGCCTCTGTAAAATTTCATATCGCCGCACCGGACTATTTTCTTTTATCGTGCATAGCTCATTTTCCGATACACTTCAGGTTTTTGACGATCTTCTTACTTGTTCGTTACTTTCTAAAATTAAAATCCTACACAAATTGCCAAAACTTTTAATCCCATGCTAGACAGCGTAAAAGATAAATACACGTTTGTTAGTGTACAAACGGTGTTTTAAAGGCCGATATCCATTTGCACAGAAAAAGAATCAATTTTCGCCACAACTTAATTACGCCAATTCTTCCTTTGCGTCACTATATTTTGAAAACTGCAGCATTCATTTGCGTCAATAAAACAAGTATACAATTGCGCAAATGTTATAGACTTATATACTTTTACTTTGATATTTACTGAAAAACTGGATTTCCTCCTCCTTTTTACAGGCTAGTTTCTGAGTGCTTAATTCATCTAAAACTATATGATCTTATTCACCATTCAAAATGATTGTGTACGAGTCATCGGTAAATAGCCTTGAAAAGCATGATTAAACAGCGTGCATTATATTTCCATTTATAATTTCTCCATTTTCCCCTTTAAAAGCCTGGCGGAATTTATAAACTTCACAACCACGACAGCTTTCAGGCCCTATATCAGACTCTTATCTTTTAAAAAAAAAATCAGTCATCCTTTCAAGTGAGTGTTCTAATGTTACATGTGGTACAGGGACACAGTTATCGTCCTTTGGTTTTCATTGTCTACGAATATAGTCCCTAGTGTGAACAGTGTATCAGAGGCGGATTTAGGGGGAGGGCCCAGGGGGGGGCAGGCCCCCCTTTTCTGGGAAAAATTTGGTTGATCATGTAGGGAATAACTGAAGCATGACCCTCTTAGGCAGTCAGTAGGCCCCCACTTATGAAAATTTCTTGATCCGCCACTGTGTATAACTTGCATTTTTTATTTGATACACTTTCCCAATTTATTTCTTGATATTTAATGCATGAAATATTAAGTAGGGGGATGAAATTACATGTTAAAAAAATTTAGGTGCTGAATCTTTATGTTAGGTAGTGATTTGGTCCAGTTAAAAGAAGGTCAAATTTTATTACGTCTGAAGCTGTCAAACTGAACTTAAGACCCCCTTAACACAGAATTGTCAATATTTTGAGTTAGAGCTGGTAGAAGTTTCTATAATTTTGATATTGTTTGTCCCGCTATTAGTACATTACACTGTAAAATCTTTTTGAGATAGAGCAGGTGCGATTTTTTAATTTGAATTTATTGTCTAAAAGAAATGCACTACGAAATAATTGTGTTCTCGGGTCATGTAGGTTAATCGTTTAGAGGTAAACATGACACAATTAAGTTCCATTTATTGGTGCAATTTATACTATAACACTAGCGGATTTAGGGGGGTTTGGGGGTTTTTTTTGGGGGGGGGGGGGGGGGGGTGGTTCGCAATCCACCTAGTTCTTGTCCTTTTCATAAACGTGAAATGTACGGATTAAAAAGATGCTTCTAATATGCGTGGCTGCACTATTTCCCATGCATTGTCTAATCAACTTCACAGGACGGAATTTATTGCAAATTTTGCGTTTTGTTCGCTACTGACGACAACCTTGGACAGTTTGTTAAAAAAACACGTTCAGATTGGAAAAGCAAATGGTGAATGTTAATCTCACAAACAAACAAAAAAATACCACTAAACAGCCTTATTAAGATCACAAAACTTTATCAACACACATGATAAGATGCGGCTAGTGGAATAGATGCAAGGGGTGATACAGCAATTGCAAAACGGGTAGATACGATCTGTAATTAAATAATTAAACTAATCTAAAGAGTTTATTTAGAGTAACCATATGACGGATGAACAAAAAGTGTGCCAATTATTGAAAAACATATTGTTTGGTATAACAAGAAAACTTCTCTAGTGTTCAAAAACAATTCTCACAACCCCCCCCCCCCCCCCCCCCCCCCCCCCCCCCCCGCGCCTGTATAAGAAAAGAAGAGATGGGCGCGATTTAAACATTTTCAATATGAACTGACTCTATTTTAAAGAGTAAAATCCATTTTATTCCTTTTTATAATATTTTTCAATGTTTACCATAAATGAATGCAGATTTCATAAAGAAACACACAATTTTTACAATATTCCATGTTTTTATTCATTTAATTGATAAAACTTACATTTAATTTTCGGGAAATTTCCCAAAATATATTAAAGTTTCAAAATATTTGTGGTAAAGATGTATGTGACAACTTTTTATTCGGGAAATGTCCCGAAATCATTTTCAACATTATTATTTATAACATATATGTTGGCAAAGCTTTTTGACAAATAGATCTGAAACACATTTCGGGAAAAATCCCGACAAAATAAACTAAGTGCAAAATGTATAACACAGATGTCTTCAAATATTTCGGGATTTATCCGGAAAACCCAAAGTATATGCTAGAACTCATGACTAATAATTTCTTTTCACATTTCGGGAAAAATCCCGAAAAATATAAATCTATTATCAAGCACACACTTGTTGCATAGATTTTTTTACCCATTTCGGGAAAAATCCCGAAATAAAATCTACAAGCAAAAATTATGCTACAGATTTCTTAAACATATTGGGAAAAATCCCGAAAAACAAAATTGATAAGATTTTACAACACAGAATTTTTATACATTTAGAAAGTTTTTATGTTAATTTGTTTCAAACATTTGTTGAAATATTATGATTCATAAAAAATATGTGTTTAACTGAAAAAAATATGAATTTTGTTTTAAGCATACTTTTCATTACAGTTCCGAAAAAAGTATTTTCTAAGAAATATAAAGGTTGCTCTCTACTGCATCTCTTTTGTCATGCTTCAGTGATTCCCTTTATATAATCAACCAAATTTGTCCCACAAAGGAGGGGGGGGGGGCCAGGCCCCCTCTAAATCCGCCTCTGATAAGTGGTCGCTTTTCAACTGGCCTAAGCATAAACTTTAACATGTAAACTTTGCAAAAGATTCTAAGTTATGAGACCATGATTGAGGGTTCAAGGTAAAAAAAATCCCCAAGCACATGCGTTGTCCAAAAGCTTATTCAACTGCAAATAAAATATCCCTAACATACTATTAATGGTTCTCCTTAAACTGAACTTATCACAAACCTTACAGTGTAAACTAAGGAAATTTTCAAAGTCAATATATACCATTAGGTTACTGAGAGGGTGGTGCTCTATGGGATTGAGATGTGTGTCCGTAACACATTATACCCTGCTCCCACAATCATATTTCCATGTTCAGTAACTTATTTGTAATTATTTTACAATAAAATGCTTCGCTGGGCGCAGCTTGATACGACCGCAGAGGTCGAACCCTGAACAGTTGGGGCAAGTATGGACATAACATTCAAGCTTGATACAGCTCTGAATTTGGGTTGTGATTAAATATTTGACACAGCATAGGTTTCTGACACAGAAAGAATGTGGTCTAAGAACTTCAATTTTTTTAATTTACCTATTATGGTCCAATGTCCAAAATCAAAATACACGGTTAGATTCAGCATATCAAAGAACCCCATATATTCAATTTTTGTTGAAATCAAACAAAGTTTAATTTTGGACCCCAACTTGGACAAACTTGAAAACTGGTCCCATAATCAAAAATCTAAACACATGTTTAGATTCAGCATATCAAAGTACCCGAAGAATTCAATTTTTGTTAAAATCAAACTAAGTTTAATTTTGGACCCTTTGGACCTTAATGTAGACAAATTTAAAAAACGGGACACTAAATTAAAAATCTAAAAACACAGTTAGATTTGGCATATCAAAGAACCCCAATAATTCAATTTTTGATGAAATCAAACAAAGTTTAATTTTGGACCCTTTTGACCTCAATATGAACCAATTTGATAGCGGGCCCACAAATAAAAAATCTAAATACATGGTAAGATTCAGCATATCAAAGAACCCCATATATTCAATTTTTGTTGAAATCAAACAAAGTTTAATTTTGGACCCCAATTTGGACCATCTTGAAAACTGGGCCAAAAATCTAAAATCTAAATACATGTTTAGATTCAGCATATCAAAGAACCCCATATATTCAATTTTTGTTGAAATCAAACAAAGTTTAATTTTGGACCCCAACTTGGACCAACTTGAAAACTGGTCCCATAATCAAAAATCTAAACACATGTTTAGATTCAGCATATCAAAGAACCCCAAAAATTCAATTTTTGTTAAAATCAAACTAAGTTTAATTTTGGACCCTTTGGACCTTAATGTAGACCAATTTAAAAAAACAGGACCCAAAATTAAAAATCTAAATACACGGTTAGATTTGGCATATCAAAGAACCCCAATAATTCAATTTTTTATGAAATCAAACAAAGTTTAATTTAGGACCCTTTTGACCTCAATATGAACCAATTTGATAGCGGGCCCACAAATAAAAAATCTAAATACATGGTAAGATTCAGCATATCAAAGAACCCCATATATTCAATTTTTGTTGAAATCAAACAAAGTTTAATTTTGGACCCCAATTTGGACCAACTTGAAAACTGGGCCAAAAATCTAAAATCTAAATACATGTTTAGATTCAGCATATCAAAGAACCCCATATATTCAATTTTTGTTGAAATCAAACAAAGTTTAATTTTGGACCCCAACTTGGGACCAACTTGAAAACTGGGCCCATAATCAAAAATCTAAACACATGTTTAGATTCAGCATATCAAAGAACCCTAAGAATTCAATTTTTGTTAAAATCAAACTAAGTTTAATTTTGGACCCTTTGGACCTTAATGTAGACAAATTTAAAAAACGGGACCCAAAATTAAAAATCTAAATACACGGTTAGATTCGGCATATCAAAGAACCCCAATAATTCAATTTTTGATGAAATCAAACAAAGTTTAATTTTGGACCCTTTGGACCTCAATGTGGACCAATTTAAAAACGGGGCCCAAAATCCAAAAACTTAATACACGGTTAGATTCAGCATATTAAAGAACCCCAAGAATTCAAGAATAAAACCCCATTGAAATTGATCAAGAAATAAGCAATTTATACGAAGTATCTTCTTTTGCACAATACTGTGCAATTGAATATTTCTTGCTATTGCGCAATACTGTACAATTGACAATTTCTTGCTATTGCGCAATATTGTGCTATTGGATATTTCTTGCTATTGCGCAATACTGTTAAATTGAAGATTTCTTGCTATTGCGCAATACTGTGCAATTGAAGATTTCTTGCTATTGTGCAATACTGTGCAATTGAAAATTTCTTGCTATTGCACAATACTTATTATATAATAATTTACACATCCTGTTTGGTGTGTATCTCCTACCATATCATTATTATTTGCTTTTAAATATAAATCAGAAATAACCAACTTAAAATGGAAAATTTTAAAAGAAAAAAAAAAGGAAAAAAAGAAAAAAAAAAAAAAAAAAAAATCCCCCCCCCCAATTTTTTGAAACCCCTTATGATTCATCACCCCCAAACTCAATCCCAGCCTTCCCTTTGTGGTATGGTACCTTGCAGTACAATTTCAGAGAGATCCATACACTTGAACACAAGTTATTGTCTGGAAACTAGAAAAATGCTTATTTTTGGCCCCTTTTTGGCCCCCAATTCCTAAACGTTTCGGGCAATTACCCCCAAACTCAATTCCAGCTTTCCCTTTGTGATATGGAACCTTGTAGTACAATTTCAGAAATATCCAAACACTTACACACAAGTTATTGTCATGAAACTAGAAAAATGCTTGTTTTTTGCCCCTTTTTTGGCCCCTAATTCCTAAAATTTTGAGGCAATTACCCCCAAAATCAATTACAGCCTTCCCTTTGTGATATGGAACCTTGTGGTACAATGTCAGAGAGATCCATACACTTACACACAAGTTATTGTCTGAAAGTTACAAAAATGCTTATTTTTGGCCCCTTTTTGGCCCCTAATTCCTTAACTGTTGGTACCATAACCCCCAAAATCAATCCCAACCTTCCTTTTGTGGTATTGAACCTTATGGTGAAATTTCATGGAGATCCATTCATTTAAACTAAAGTTAGAGTGCGAAAACCAATGTGTCTTCGGACGACGCCAGACGACGCCGGACGACGACGACGACGACGACGACGACGACGCCAACGTCATACCAATATATGACCAAAAAATTTTTAATTTTTGCGGTCGTATAAAAATGACTTCATAATGAACACTTGTAAGTACAAAGTTTCAAGTTTATTTGACCTTAACATCATAGTAAACTAATGTACACCAAAGACTTAACCTACTGTACTGTTTGTACATCTTGAAAACAAAATGATTGATAAAAACTGGTTTCAACTCATTACTTCAAATGCCAATGAAATTTTAAAATAGGATGTAAAAAAAAATAAAACTCAAAAATATTTAATAATATAGCCTCATTTCATTGTCCTAATTTGCACAATTTTTTTTTGTCACAGAAAAAATGGAAGAAACTATCTTTAATTATATTTTTCTAAATTTCTTTGATGTTCTCCACAGCAAAAAAAAAATACTGTTCTAAAATAAAATACATGTACTATATAATATTACAAATGCATAACTACAAATCAGAGTAGACATGTGAACAAATCTTCATAACATGTGCAATGTTTGTTATATTCAGATGGAATTATTACATGTTATATAAATTGATCTGTTTCTTTACTGATGACTAGTTCTTTCTTCCTTTCAATCCTGCCTATAAGAGCAAAGTAAAATAACATTTAATAAAAGATAACAAAAACATTCTATTCCACTGTACATGCTAAATGTAAATATTAATAGTGAGGTCAACAATTTTGATCATGTTGATAGGTTGAGACTATCACACTTGACATTTATAACAAAACTTCATTTCTCCCTCTGAACATTTTGATTGCCTTGTGTGACGTTTCACACAATCAAAATGATCATAAGGTACATAACTTTTCCAACATTTTTTTACAATAAAGATAGTATAGCCATTAATAGTTTTCAAAATTATTTCAGTGTAGAGTTGAGTAATCTTTTCCCTTTCTCCAATTGAATGTTACTGGCAACCTGCATTCTTCTATGTAACCTTTTTTTTTCATTTTACAAATACTGATCAAGATTTAAAAGGGGAGCAATATTGAGTTTTCAGAAACTACTGCAAGTCCATGTGCCTATCCAAAGTCAAGACTTTTCCTGTCACCTAAAGTTGTATCTTAAAGCTTTTGTTTTTAGGGAATTTGATGTCGATAGTAGATGTTTATTTGTTTTTGGCTTTTCAATTGACAATTGAGATGTTTATTAAATTCTACAATCACTTGTTAATCATTTCAAGACAGTTGACCTATAAAAGTATGATGAAACCTTTTCAACTGATTTTTATAGTTTGTTCTTAAGTTGTGCTGTAACACCACTGTCCCAGGTTCATTTTGAGGTTAGGGTAGGGTTGAGCACTCAAAAACTTGTTTAACCTGCCACATTCTTTATGTGCCTGTCCCAAGTCAGGAGCCAATACTTCCATGGAAGTCGTTGGTTTTATATGTATGTTATATATTTGATTTTCGCTACTTGTTTTGTTATAAATTAGGCCGTTAGATTTCTCGGGGCCTTTTATAGCCGACTATACAGTATGGGTTTTTCTCATTGTAGAAGTCTGTACAGTTACCTATAACTGCTTACATCCACTTTATTCAAACTTTGGTGGATAGTTGTCTCAATGGCAATCATGCACCATCTCCTTATTTTTATACAAGTCTAGGTCAAAACTGCATCTATGCTGTTTATTTAATTTTTCTGTTGTTGAGTTGCATTTCATCTGCTCTTAACAGGTATACATTCTTGTAACAATATGTTTTATCTATGTGAAAATCATGTATTATTTATTCCTTTCAAAATTCTGTGAATAAATAAATGGGGAATGTGTCCATGGGACACAGATCTAGATGATGCCCCCGCTTGCATATAACATTTTAAAGGGTCATAAATCAAGAATGGTAAAAGTGACACACAGTACCCAAATGAGTACTTGATCTGAGTTTTGTGGTAATATGCATTGTGTATAAGTTTTTGAACATTTGATTAAGCAAACTTAAGTTTATAGTGAACTAAAATGAATAAACAGCTGCACCATGAGTGCATGATATATGCCCATCACTTTTTCAAAGAATAAAGATCAATAACTTCTTAATGTCATATCAGAAATTCATGAAAACCTAAAGGGAGGTTATCTTAAAAGATACAACCAGTAACCAAAGTTTCATGATAACTGCTCAAAGCATTGCCCGAAAACAGAAAAATCCCCCCTTTTTATGAATAAAATCACATAACTCCAAAACTTAAAACCTAAAATTGATAAAAATCAAAAGGGAGCTTAAGTCAATAGATATAAACAATTCACCTAAAGTTTCATGAAAACTGCAGAAAGCATTTAGAGTCATTGTCCGAAAACTGGAAATTCACCCTTTTTTAATGAATAAAACTCCATAACCCGGAAACGTAAAATCTTGAATTTATAAAAATGGAAAGGGAGATCATGTCAATAGATATAAACAAATCACCAAAGTTTCTTGCAAATTGGTGAATTTTTTTTGAGTTATTGTCCGAAAACTGGAAATTCCCCCCTTTTTAATGAAAAAAAACCCAAAACTTGGAAACTTAAAATCTAAAATTTATAAAAAACGAAAGGGAGCGCACGTCAATAGATATAACTAATTCACCAAAGTTTCATGTAAATTGGTTCAAGCATTTTTGATTGTCAGACATGTTCACAACAGACGGATGGACGAACAACGGTATACCATAATACGTCCCGTAAACTGGCGTATAAAAATTTGGCAATTTTTCTATTTGTAAAGGAGCATAACTCTAGAACAGTAAAAGTGAGGCCACCAACATTCAAAGTTGATCTTTGTTTTGTGGTAATAAGCATTGTGTATAAGTTTCATAATATTTGGTTCAGGCAAACTAAAGTTAGAGAACGGACACAAAAAAAATCAGCAATTTTTCCATTTGTAAAGAGGCATAACTCTAGATCTAGAATGGTAAAAGTGACGCTACCAAAATTCAAACTTGATTTGTGGTTTGTGGTAATAAGCAATGTATAAGTTTCATAACATTTGGTTGAGGCAAACTAAAGTTAGAGAACAGAAACCAATTAATGGGACGTACAGACTTACACTGGTAAATTATTAAGTCAGGGATTTCGTTAGTACCATAAATTACTTAAAACTTTTACTAAATTCTTTCATAGATACAAAGATTTGATTAGTAAATTTGGCTGTTCCTGTAGAAAACTTATAAAAAACGGTATTTCACATCCTAAATTTTACAGTAATATTGTACTAAAAGCACGGAAATCACTGTGTGATCTATGTAAACTCATCGAACCTTTAAACAAACTTATTAGTAAAGGTTACATGTATCTTACAAATGTTGTAATTTAAGATCTTTGATTATAGTTTACATTAGCACAAATAACGATTTTGTCATCAGCAAATTAAAACATCAACTAAATTTGTATTTTTTTTTAAGTGGGATGTATAAATACACATCCACATTAATTTTTTCTGTATAGAGGTTAACATAACTATCCTAGTGAGTCAGCCTGTCGATACTTTTATTTTTGGCATTGCACAAGTCAATTGTCTTCTTTGACTGTCCATGATATTAAATACTTAATCCCTGGGATGTGTTTTAGTTGATTTTAGTCTCTGATGCATGATTTTTTTATTATTAATTGATTAATTTTGGCTTTAAACTAGCTTTCAGTATACGTAACTGCGAGTACTCTCAAATCGTACTTTCATGTTGACCTGTTGATACAATCATAATGTTTTTTGTTATTCAATGTTTCTATATTTTTGCAATATACCAGCTGCTTTGATAAGTATTTAGTATGACTTTAAAATTTTACTTCTGTTTCTCGTACTATGAACAACAAAATTATTTATTTTGTAAAAAATATTTGTTTTCCATTTATACTGTGTCTTTCTATGTTGTGATGTTACACTATTGTTTCGGGTAAGGGTGAAGGTTGGTACCTATTAAAACGTTTAAACCCTCTGCATTTGTTTGCACCTGTCCTAAGTCAGGAACCTGATGATCAGTAGTTGTGGTTTGTTGATGTGGTTCATAAGTGTTTCTTGTTTCTCATTTTTTATATAGATTAGACCATTGGTTTTCCCGTTTGAATGGTTTTACACTAGTCATTTTTGGGGCCTTTTATAGCTAACTGTTCGGTGTGAGCCAAGGCTCCGTGTTGAAGACCGTACTTTGACCTATAATGGTTTTTCTTTTACAAATTGTGATGGAGAGTTAATGTCTCATTGGCACTCATACCACATCTTCTTATATCAAATTACGTACAGACGTACAAGGGTAAAACTTAATGCCCCCTCCGCTACGATGGGGCATAAAAAAATGCATATATATATATATAAAGCAGCAGGACTCTTATTAAGACTGAATATGACAGTACCTTATTCTGCATTCTTTCATCTTTAACCATTTATACTAGTTCTTCTGGTATCTCCTGATTGTTGTCATGAATTTAGGTTCTTCATTTCTTTTACGTCCAGGCAATTTTGGTAAGAAAGCACCAAATTTCAGTCTAAGTGTATCCATGGTTTGTCCTGGGTGTATTTTGATAAAAATGATAAATGTTGACTGCATCTTTTGGTGTCGCTCTTGTAAAACAATAATGCAAAGTCTCTGTGTGTTGTTTAAAATTACTAATCATAGGAATTAACCAGTAACATATATTGTATTATAATTTCACTTTTTAAACATCTGGAATAATCCTGAACAGTGACTGCACAGTTTCAGCATCCTTTGTTCTTAATTTTTCTGATATTAGCTGAAAGCAGGATCAATATCTTCATGTGTGTGGCCAACAAGTACGAACAACCAGAGAACCTGAAAAAAAAATATCTGTTGAGTTCTTTACTAGTATCATTTATTTATCCATTAAAGAGGTAGAGCTTTGTTAGAATTTTGAAAGGTGGAAGTAGTATAATTACTTTTAATACACTAAAACATGTAATAAATAAAACAAGAATGTGTCAATGAAACACAGATGTCCCTGCTTGTAAATATATCTCAAATTTATCAATTTTTTTTTATTAATAAAGTAACATAATATGAGAATGGTGAAAGAGACAACACCCAAACTTGATCAGTGTTTGGTGTTAATAAGCATTGTGTATAAGTTTCATAACACTTGGTTGAGGCAAAGTAAAGTTAGAGTGCAGTTTGGGTTTTGAACTAGTACCATCAGATTAGTATGTACTGTACTGCAATAAAAAAAACATGAATCAATATCAGGGAACTAATTACTTGAAGTAATTTAAACCAAACCTACAGACTAATGACAGCCAGAGACAACTATCTGTCAGAGTTAAAATGAAGTGGATGTAGGCAATTATAGGCAATCGAACATTTCTTCAGAACCCTAATTAAGTTTGTACATGTCCTGCCCTTTTATAGCCAACTATATATACGGAATTGGTTTTCAATTACTTCAAGTTCCCTGATATTGATTCATGTTTTTTTTATTGCAGTACAGTACATACTAATCTGATGGTTTATGAGAACACAATTAGTACAAAGACAACAACATGTTTATCGAAATATCATTTTCATTTTGTTACTTAATATTCTAAAACCACAGAAGAAAAATAAATTTCCATATCTTGCCCTGTTAATGAGTTTTGATGAAAATTAGTTTTAAAATTATTCATCAAATACACAGGATAAGAACCTGTGGGTAGTGCTCTGTGGTTAAATAATTGACTCATTTTCATAGGTTTATGACCACTGACCAGCTATAATAATAATGGCTATAGAAAAAGAGGTGTATAAAAAGTGTTAAGAAATGAAGAAGATAATGAACTTCAAAGAAAAATACATTTTTATATTAGAGCTGCCATGAGAAAAAACATATAATAAATTGTATAGCAATAAGGGAATTAAAATATTAATGTAAAAGCATAAATCAAATATAGTTAAACCTTTAAACAGACTTATTAAGAAGGGATATAGTTATGATACTGTTGTCAGGTCATTAAAGATTGCATACTTTGGCTTTAATATTGATTCACTTATAGGGGCTTTGCATCGGAATTTAACACATTTATTCTAAAACCAGTTGTTGGCATGACACAGGTTATGTTCTTCTCATATATTTTATGATGGTATAATACTCAACCCCTAACAGGAGGGATTGTGCCTGATATTCATATGATGAAGACATAATCTTTCTTTCAGTTTAATTGAGGTCTGGAGCTGGCATGTCAGTAACTGCTAGTAGTCTGTTGTTATTTATGTATTATTGTCATTTTGTTTATTTTCTTTTGTTTTTCTATTCTGACATCGGACTCGGACAACTCTTAAACTGAGTTTTACTGTGCGTTTGTTTTTTCTACATTGGCTAGAGTTATAGGACGAGGGTTGAGATCTCAAAAAACATGTTTAACCCAGCCGCATTTTTGCGCCTGTCCCAAGTCAGGAGCCTCTGGCCTTTGTTAGTCTTGTATCATTTTTAATTTTAGTTTCTTGTGTATAATTTGGAGTTAAGTATGACGTCCATTATCACTGAACTAGTATACATATTTGTTTAGGGGCCAGCTGAAGGATGCCTCCGGGTGTGGGAGTTTCTCGCTGCATTGAAGACCCATTGGTGGCCTTCGGCTGTTGTCTGCTCTATGGTCGGGTTGTTGTCTCTTTGACACATTCCCCATTTCCATTCTCAATTTTAAGTACAACATTTAATATTGTTGATGTTAATAACATTTCTATAATATAACAGATTTTCTTGAGAATTTCTAAAATATATGAATTTATGAGGGCTAGGATCCCGCTAACATGTTTAACCCTGCCACATTCTGTATGTATGTGCCTGTCCCAAGTCAGGAACCAGTAATTCAGTGGTTGTCGTTTGTTGTTCGTTCATTTTTTTTGTACATTAATTAGGCCTTTGTTTTCTCGTTTGAATTGATTTACATTTGTGATTTCGGGGCCTTTTATATCTGACTATGCAGTATGGGCTTTGCTCATTGTTGAAGGCTGTTCTGTGACCTATAGCTGTTAATTACTGTGTCATTTGGTCTCTTGTGAAGAGTTGACTCATTGGCAATCATACCACATCCTCTTTTGTATATGTACACCTTACAATCATTCTATACATCAAATACAGTTGACCTTCTGCTTTAAGTATTTTAAAAACAGACCAAAACACAACAAGAGTGCAGACGCTGAAATGTCTCGCCTTCTTTACTAATCATTGATATTATGTTGATAGTCCTAAATATAAAGCTTTATTACAACTGTCACATAAACTTAACATTAACCAAGTAAACTAAACATTGACCAATGAACCATGAAAATGAGGTCAAGGTCAGATGACACCTGCCAGCTAGACATGTACACCTTACAATCATTCCATACACCAAATATTGTAGACCTATTGCATACAGTATAAGAAAAACAGACCAAAACACAAAAACTTAACTTTGACCACTGAACCGTGAAAATGAGGTCAAGGTCAGAAGACACCTGCCAGCTAGACATGTACACCTTAAAATCATTCCATACACCAAATATTGTAGACCTATTGCATACAGTATAAGAAAAACAGACCAAAACACAAAACTCAACTATAACCACTGAACCATGAAAATGAGGTCAAGGTCAGATGACACCTGCCAGCTAGACATGTACACCTTACAATCCTTCCATACACCAAATATAGTAGACCTATTGCATACAGTATAAGAAAAACAGACCAAAACACAAAAACTCAACTATAACCACTGAACCATGAAAATGATGTCAAGGTCAGATGACACCTGCCAGTTGGACATGTACACCTTACAGTCCTTCCATACACCGAATATACTAGACCTATTGCTTATAGTATCTGAGATATGGACTTGACCACGAAAACTTAACCTTGTTCACTGATCCATGAAATGAGGTCGAGGTCAAGTAAAAACTGTCTGACGGGCATGAGGACCTTGCAAGGTACGCACATACCAAATATAGTTATCCTATTACTTATAATAAGAGAGAACTTAACATTACAAAAATTCTTAACTTTTTTTTCAAGTAGTCACTGAACCATGAAAATGAGGTCAAGGACATTGGACATGTGACTGACGGAAACTTCGTAACATGAGGCATCCATATACAAAGTATGAAGCATCCAGGTCTTCCACCCTCTAAAATATAAAGCTTTTAAGAAGTTAGCTAACGCCGCCGCCGCCGCCGCCGGATCACTATCCCTATGTCGAGCTTTCTGCGACAAAAGTCGCAGGCTCGACAAAAACTGAACAATTGACCAATTAACCATGAAGGAGAGGTCAAAGTCAGATGATACCTACCAGACAGTCATGTAAGCCTTACAACCATTCCATACACCAAATATACTAATAGTTGAGGTACTGCTTATAGTATTTGAAAAACTGACAAAGACACAAAACCTTAACATTGAATACTGAACCATGAAAAAGAGGTCAAGGATGAAACCTGCCAAACTGACATGCACCCCTTACAATCATTTCATACACCACTTATAATATCTGAAAAAGAGTGCACATGCTGAAATGTCTTGCCTTCTGTATTAACCATTGATTTTATGTTGATAGTCCTAAACATAAAGCTTTACTACAAGTTTCATATGAACTTAACATGATCCAAGAAAATGAGGCCAAGATCAGATTAACCAATAATAAGAAATACATGTACACCTTACAATCATTTAATTCACCAAATATAGTTGACCTATTGCTATAGTTTCTAAGAAACAGACTTAACCAAGAAAACTAAGCATTGACCAATGAACCAGGTCCTTCCCTAGATCTTCCATCAATTTCTTCATTTTCCATCAACACTTGATGGACAATTGATGGAAAGTTGATGGTACTTGATGGAATTCCATCCTAAACCAAAAAAATCCATCAAAGGATGATGGAAATTAGGAATTTTATTTCCATCCGCATTCTTTTGATGGAAAATTTGATGGCATCTTTAACCCCTGATGGAAAATTGGATGGCATTTTTACCCTCTGATGGAAAATATGATGGCATTTATTCCACCTGATGGAAAATAGGATGGAAATAAAGGAAGTTTGATGGAAATTGGACTTAAACATTTTCTTTGATGGAAAGTGAGATGGAATTTGGACTTAGAATATTTTGTTGATGGAAAGTGTGATGGTATTTAAACTCTGTCATTTTGCTTGATGGAAAAAAACTTAGAAAATTTCAGCATAATTGTGTCTGAAAATTTAACATCCCTTACTGAGGTAAAAAGTTTTCTATTATATTGGAGCAAACAAATTTGTTTACAAGAAGTACTAGCAAGAAATTTACATGTTGTTGCAGCTGTAACTTGTAACATAATCTCTCAATGTTACTGAAATAATATTTGTTCGTGAGAAAGTTGCAGTATTTTTCTGCAATGTTGCAAGAACGAGTTTGTTTGCTAGAAAGTTGCAACAAACAATTTCCTAAACTGTGCAAAACCTTGTATATATCTTGTAACAGGAAAGGATTTCAAGAATACTTTGGTTTTTATTTCAACCAGTGTAAACTTATTAAATGTGACATATTATTTTTTGTTAAAATTACTTTTTGTCACTATTTATATGACTGTTCTGTAACCAATACTTTTATTTTTACATTGTCCATCAAATGATGCATACACCCCTTGCAGAAATAAATCCCGACAACTTTTATAATAAGGATATCTCAAGATTATCCTGGGATATCCTGAAAATATCCTGTTAGGCTACAAGTCCTTTTTTTAGGAAAAAAATTAATGGGAGAATTCCAGAAAATGTCAGGACTTAATTTCAAATCAAGCAGCTTATAACTGGGGGAATTCTCAGGATATCTCAAGACTTTCAAAAATCATA